ATTCATGCATTGATCCTTAGGTTTTAAATTCTTACTAATCATAACTCCCAGATCCCTTTCGCAATATGACTTTGCAATCTCACCACCATCTAGCTCGTATCTTGTAACTCTATCATCATTACCTAGCCTCAGAACTTTACATTTATCAGCATTAAACTGCATTTGCCAATCAATTACTGTACTGTACTGACATTAACATGAATTTCTCGGAATTAATGAATTACAGTGTAATAATAATAAACAAAGGAGCATGTGGTAATCTACAGCCCGGGGGAAGAACATCTTGATCTGGGATGATTCATTGCACTCTTGCCAAATCACATAATTATCCATTCCATGAAAACCTTATGACTCCACCATAACTTAATTAGAACTTTTATGTATTTCCTTACTAGTGAATAACTTAATTTAAGCCCCAGATATAAAATACTCTCAATATGAACTAATTAGTACACTTACAAATAGCAGTATTACTTTAAGGGTACTCTTGGTGAGGGATGTGAGGTGGGTGGCCGTCTGCCTCAGTAGCGACCTGACCTCAGGTCAGAGTGCTGCCTGCTCATAAAATGTCAAGCCCCCCCCCATCCCCTATGTACTAAATGAACCAGATGACAGATACATGACTCCATAAAACTCCTCACTTTTCCTTTTACATATAATAAGGAGTACACAGAATCTATTCTCTACAAGGACAAATGTAAGATGGAACTTTACAAAAATACGTGACAACACTATATAATCTCTTCCCTGGTACGGAGACGTTATATCAAAACAGGTCAATGCCCTCCTCTCAGTTATACTGCTGGCGTGTAGGCACGCGCTCATACGCCTACAATACAATCCATTGAATAAGGAAAACCTCCTCCTAACTCCAGCTAGGTTGTTACAAGAGGGGCTGGGTGTTGTCTGAAAACAGAGTTTGTTATTGTTCTGATAGCAGATTTTTGCTGGGTAATGATGGGCTTGAGGTAATTTGGTGTAGTTGAACCCCATGCACAGATACCATATGTAAGATAGGGATAGATTAGCGAGTAGTATAACGAGAGGAGAGCAGAGTAGGGAATATAACATCTGATTTTGGAGAGTATATCGACAGTTATACAGGTTTATATTATTTATATCCGTCAGGGATCTATAGACTCTTAATACCAGTATCGGCAATGTTTTGTGGGAGCATTTTTCCTGTACATACTGTACTGTAAATGCATGTATTTACGTTAGGGAAACATGTAAATACGTGTATTTACGTTAGGGAGACGTGTAAATACATGTATTGACGTTAGGGACACACATGTAAATACATGTATTTACGTTATGGACACACACATGTAAATACATGTATTTACGTTAAGAAAACATGTAAATACTGTACATGTATTTACTCAACCCGTTCTCGCACTTGCTTACAGTCAATATTGGCTTATTTAATAAGTGCATATGTGACATACTAATTGATTGTGAATATTTTAGTTTACCTTGAAAAGCTTCATAGAAAACACCGACCTCACCTAACCTTCTTAGTATGTTAAGATAAGCATCTTATTGCTTCTTATTTACAATTATTACTTAACCTATCAACAGTATAGGTTAAGTAATAATTGTAATTAAGAAGCAATAAGATGCTTATCTTAACATACTAAGAAGGTTAGGTGAGGTCGGTGTTTTCTATGAAGCTTTTCAAGGTAAACTAAAATATTCACAATCAATTAGTATGTCACATATGCACTTATTAAATAAGCCAATATTGACTATAAGCAAGTGCGAGAACGGGTTGATCTACTTTACGGAGACATGTAAATACATGTGTCTACTTTACAAAGACATGCAAATACATGTGTCTACTTTATGGTGACATGCAAATACTGTACATGTATCTACTTTACGGAGACATGTAAATACATATGTTCGGAGACATCTACTTTAGGTAGACATGCAGATACATGTAATTTACAAAATAGAACACAAAACATTGGAGAGTACAATACACGTATTGAATAAGTTTGGAGTTGAAAACATCTTGATTGGGGGACTTCACTCAACATACCTAAAATGAAAGACTGTGGCAAGTACAGTTATATCTGAGAGAATCTAAGGAAGTACTGTAATTTAAATGAAGTCACACACAAATGACCTCTTATCATGTGACATCATAATGTACTCATCTATTTGTACTCACCTATTTGTGCTTGTGGGGGTTGAGCTTTGGCTCTTTGGTCCCGCCTCTCGACTGTTAATCAACTGGTCTACAGATTCCTGAGCCTACTGGGCTCTATCATATCTACATTTAAAACTGTGTATGGAGTCAGCCTCCACCACATCACTGCCTAATGCATTTCATCCGTTAATTACTCTGACACTGAAAAAGTTCCTTCTAACGTCTCTGTGGCTCATGTGGGTACTCAGTTTCCACCTGTGTCCCCTTGTTTGCGTCCCACCAGTGTTGAATAGTTTATCCTTGTTTACCCGGTCGATTCCTCTGAGGATTTTGTAGGTTGTGATCATGTCTCCCCTTACTCTTCTGTCTTCCAGTGTCGTAAGGTGCATTTCCCGCAGCCTTTCCTCGTAACTCATGCCTCTTAGTTCTGGGACTAGTCTAGTGACATACCTTTGGACTTTTTCCAGCTTCGTCTTATGCTTGACAAGATACGGGCTCCATGCTGGGACCGCATACTCCAGGATTGGTCTTACATATGTGGTGTACAAGATTCTGAATGATTCCTTACACAGGTTCCTGAACGCTGTTCTGATGTTAGCCAGCCTCGCATATGCCGCAGACGTTATTCTTTTTATGTGGGCTTCAGGATACAGGTTTGGTGTGATATCAACTCCTAGATCTTTCTCTCTGTCCGTTTCATTAAGTACTTCATCACCCATTCTGTATCCTGTGTCTGTCCTGTTTCCACTGCCTAGTTTCATTACTTTGCATTTACTCGGGTTGAACTTCAACAGCCATTTGTTGGACCATTCACTCAGTCTGTCTAGGTCATCTTGTAGCCTCCTACTATTGTCCTCAGTTTCAATCCTCCTCATAATTTTTGCATCATTGGCAAACATTGAGAGAAACGAGTCTATATCCTCTGGGAGATCATTTACATATATCAGAAACAGTATAGGTCCAAGGACTGACCCCTGCGGGACTCCACTCGTAACGTCTCGCCAATCTGAGACCTCACCCCTCACACTGACTCGTTGTCTCCTGTTGCTTAGGTACTCCTGTATCCAACGGAGTACCTTCCCTTTCACTCCAGCCTGCATCTCCAGCTTTTTCACTAGCCTCTTGTGTGGCACTGTATCAAAGTTTTTCTGACAATCCAAAAATATGCAGTCTGCCCACCCTTCTCTTTCTTGCCTTATTTTTGTTGCCTGGTCGTAGAATTCCAGTAACCCTGTGAGGCAGGACCTGCCATCCCTGAACCCATGTTGGTGCTGTGTTACAAAGTTCTTTCGCTCCAGGTGCTCCTGGAGCGAACAGTCACTATCACACTATCATGTGATGGTGATAGTGTGACATATCATATCCTACTTATATCCTACTTATATCCTACTATATCATATCATACTTATCATGTGATAGTGTGACAGATTTGCCTTAAACTAGGAAATAGTAGAACCAACTAGAAAAGAGATCACACTAGGCCTTATTTTCACAAATAGTGATAAATTGATCGGGAACATAGTTATAACAAATACCTGTTACTCAGATCACAGCTTAATTTAAGTTCAGACACGCATGGGCAGCACTCCCAAAATCCTAGAGGAGGAGAATTCAGCAAATTTAATTTTAATAATAATTAGATTAACTGTGAACAAATAAACCAAGACCTCGCAGAAATATGCTGGGAAGAACAGGTAGAAAATGCAAACTTAAATCAATGCCTCGAAAAGGTAGACTCAGTAATTCTAGAAATGTGCTCAAGCAACATTCCAATAGAATGATGCAGAGTATGAGGGAATATGAATGATGTGTACACTCCATAGAATGATGCAGAGTATGAGGGAATATGAATGATGTGTACACTCCATAGAATGATGCAGAGTATGAGGGAATATGAATGATGTGTACACTCCATAGAATGATGCAGAGTATGAGGGAATATGAATGATGTGTACACTCCATAGAATGATGCAGAGTATGAGGGAATATGAATGAAGTGTGCACTCCATAGAATGATGCAGAGTATGAAGGAATATGAATGATGTGTACACTCCATAGAATGATGCAGAGTATGAGGGAATATGAATGATGTGTACACTCCATAGAATGATGCAGAGTATGAAGGAATATGATTGATGTGTGCATTCCGTAGAAGGCATAGAATATGCCCGAAACGCTTTGCATAATAGTGGCTTTAGGCATTGTATGTACTAGCTCTATCTATAAGTTCACCAATCTTTGTAAAAAATTTCTTTTATGTATGTACCTTACCTAAATAAACATTTATTTATTTATTTATAATATGTGGGAATATGATTGGAGTGTACTTTCTGGAGAAAGGCATAGAGTATGTAGGGACAAGTTAAAAGTGTATATTCTGTAGAGGAGCATAGAGTATGAAGGGACATATTTGAAGTGTACATTCCATAGAGGAGTATGAATAGATATGATTAAAGCATACAAATGGAAATAAAATTAAAGTCTAACAAAGAGAATGTAAATAGGAGTTTGAAACAAACCACTGAATTCTAGTAAGATAAGTTTACATTTAGAGAAGAACGGTAAACTCTGGGTTGGTAAGATGGTCGCAGATCTGCAGAAGATGATACCAAGTATATTACCTGTACCTTAATGTGATAGCATAATCTCATTGGAAAATTTCAAGCACAGATTGGATATAAATAGGAGCTACCTCATGTAGACCACTAAGCTTTCTGCAAATGGCTTTCTTCATATATTATGTAAACTTGATAATTAGTTGGCAGTAATACAAATATGTCTTGCTGTGTTACATGTTAAGACAGTTTGGTCTTCAGAGCAAAATTCCTCATTGTTTTGACTACAGGCTCTGGAACAAACGGCTCTACGTCACTTCTGTCCCGTCCCATGCAACGGAAGCTAGTCACTCTCATCAACTGCCAGCTTGTGGAAGATGAAGGGCGGGCCAGAGCAGTCCGTGCTGCACGATCTCTGGGTGAACGCACTGTCACCGAGCTCATACTTCAACACCAAAATCACCAACAGCTCTCGGCTAACCTATGGGCAGCAGTAAGGGCTCGAGGATGCCAGTTTCTGGGACCAGGTAAGGTCTGCATCTTAAACTGCAACCTGTTCTCTCACTTTATGTACTTCACTTCTGACATTATTAACCTTAACATAAAAAAAAATCATACTTGTTTGACATTGGCTGTCATCTATGGGTTAAGATATTGTTTAGATTTATCTAAATCTGTGATTTATTCACAGCTTTATCTAAGCTGTGTTCAGATATTTATACCCTGTTTTTATGTTTACCAGCCTTTTACATGCTGCCAGTGTTGTTCTGATTGTGTGTGATTCCAGTGATAGAGAGGGAAAAATATTGCCTGTGTATTGTTGACATGTAATTTACGGATCATATTCAGTCTTTCTCATATACAGTTTTAATTCTACAGATTGTCGGATACAGTATTGAGAACTTTATGCTTTTTGCTGGGGTAAGCCCTCTGGTGGCTCTCTAAAGTTAACTCACTGTGATTGCTCCACCTGAAAGTTCATATCAGTTGCAGGATTTGTATTTGCCTTATCGGGGACGAGAACCATGGTCCCCTCACAGAGATGCAAAGAGTGAATGACAATTTACCACCCTACTGGGACATCATCCAGAAACTCAGCGTAGCTTTACAGACAACTGGTTCATAGAAAACAAAGCCTTGAAGCTACCAGACAATTCCTTAAACGATTCAAACAAAGAGATTCACTCAAAACTTTAGCTTGAACTCGCTAGTACCAACGGTCTGTCAGTCATGGTTAACTCCTCTGCTTCAAGCTAGAGTCCGATCATCCTTGGTCTTTATTCATTGTGCAAGGTCCATTTGCCTATGTTTTGTTATTTGATTTTAGTAAAATCTTCACGTGCATGTCTTCCTTCTGGCTTGTTATGTGGACTTGGTTTCTTTTGTGATTGAAGCTGCGTGTGCTTAGGTTTTTTTCTGTGGGGAGCCCCTATTGCTCCCTGGAGCTTATCGGGCTAATGTATGTTATATTAGACCGGGACATTAGCTATGGAGTTCAGACCTACCAGGGACCAGCGCCAGAACCTGGCCCCTTCAGAGAGGTTGCAGGGAGCAATGACCCTGGAAAACCTTCCCTGTGGTTGGGGGTTTTCCTTATCTGCCATCGACCGGGGTTAGGCACCCAGAAAGGAAGGCATAACAAAACAAACCCCACATGGAAAAAACTAACAACAAAAATGAACAGAGAGGTAGAACTGACAATCCCAAGGAAACAAGCAAACAAGCAAACTTAACACACTACTGCCATGCCGCTTGTCCGCTCAGCTCTCCCCGCCCCGAGAGGGGAAGGGGGGGCCCAGACCTCACCGCGCAGACTGCATAGCACTCTAGTTCGTAAGCTAATGACAACCAGGACAGACGCTTCTCTGGCCTCAGTTTCCTAGGTGGTGTTTGCCTTCATGGCGCTCACTGCTGTGTGTTGTGTTGTGCGGTGGCCAGGTGTTCCTCGTCAGTACCGGGGCTGCATGCGCTTAGGGGCTTCCTTCCCTAAGCTTCCTGTGAGTACTGCCCCTGTGTGACAGGGTTATGTACCCTGGGGCGTTCGGGAACCATTCCCATAGAGGTTCTTGCTACTCGGCATATGCCTCGCCCTTGGGGGCGAGGCATATGCCTACTGACGGTCTTGGCCTCCACCACCTTCTCACCTAACTTGTTCCAACTGTCTACCACTCTGTTTGCGAAAGTGAATTTTCTTATATTTCTTCGGCATCTGTATTTAGCTAGTTTAAATCTATGACCTCTTGTTCTTGAAGTTCCAGGTCTCAGATAATCTTTCCTATCGATTTTATCAATTCCTGTTACTATTTTGTACGTAGTGATCATATCACCTCTTTTTCTTGTCTTCTAGTTTTGGCATATTTAATGCCTCTAACCTCTCCTCGTAGCTCTTGCCCTTCAGTTCTGGGAGCCACTTAGTAGCATGTCTTTGCACCTTTTCCAGTTTGTTGATGTGCTCCTTAAGATATGGGCACCACACAACCGCTGCATATTCTAGCTTTGGCCTAACAAAAGTCGTGAACAATTTCTTTAGTATATCGCCATCCATGTATTTAAAAGCAATTCTGAAGTTAGAAAGCGAAGCATAGGCTCCTTGCACAATATTCTTTATGTGGTCCTCAGGTGATAGTTTTCTATCTAGAACCACCCCTAGATCTCTTTTTATTTTTTATCAGAATTCTTTAAAGATTTCTCACATAATATATAGGTTGTGTGGGGTCTATGTTCTCCTATTCCACATTCCATAACATGGCATTTATTCACATTAAATTCCATTTGCCAAGTGGTGCTCCATATACTTATTTTGTCCAGGTCTTCTTGAAGGGCATGACAATCATCTAAGTTTCTTATCCTTCCTATTATCTTAGCATCATCAGCAAACATGTTCATATAATTCTGTATTCCATCTGGTAGATCATTTATGTAGACAATAAACATCACTGGTGCAAGAACTGAACCCTGTGGTACTCCACTTGTGACATTTCTCCAGTCCGATACATTGCCTCTGATTACTGCCCTCATTTTTCTATCAGTCAGAAAATTTTTCATCCATGTTAGAAGCTTACCTGTCACCCCTCCAATATTTTCCAGTTTCCAGAACAACCTCTTATGTTTTTCTGGGGGGAGCCCCTACGGCTCCCTGGAGCTTATCGGGCTAATGTGTGTTATGTTAGACCGGGACATTAGCTATGGAGTTCAGACCTACCAGGGACCAGCGCCAGAACCTGGCCCCTTCAGAGAGGTTTCAGGGAGCAATGGCCCTGGAAAACCCCATATGGTTGGGGGTTTTCCTTATCTGCCATCGACCGGGGTTAGGCACCCAGAAAGGTAGGCGTAACAAAACAAACCCCACATGGTAAAAAACTACAACAAAAACCGAACAGAGAGGTAGAAAACTCCCTACAATCCCAAGGAAAACAATCAAACAATCAATTTACTGCCGCGCCGGTCGTCCGCGCAGCCCTCCCCTCCCCGGGAGGGGGAGGGGGGGGGCCCCGGACCTCACCGCGCCGGCTGCCGTCAGTTCGCAAGCTAGTGTCAACCGGGATAGACGCTTCTCTGGCCTCAAATTCCTTGGCGGTGTTTGCCTCGTGTGGCGTTCTCTGCTGTTGTTGTGGTGTGCGGTGGCCAGGAGTACTTCATCAGTGCCGGGGCTGCATGCGTCTAGGGCTTCCTTCCCTAGGCGCCCTGTGAGTACTGCCCTTGCGTGTCAGGGTTATCTTCTCTGGGGCGTTCGGGAACCGCTCCCGTAGAGGTTTTTGCTGCTCGGCATTTGCCTCGCCCTTGGGGCCAGCTGGGGCTTGGGGCCCTTGTTTGGCCTTGGGTAGGGAGTGGTTTTGTGCTGGTTAGGGCGTCAAGGTGTTGCGCGGCCTGCCACCTAAGCGGCGACCGGTTCCTGTTGCTCTGGGGACGGTGTACTTTTGCGGGGTTTTTCTTTTGTTTTGTTTTTGGTTGCCTGGTGGAGGTGCTGCCTCGTGGGCCCATAGTTCCCCTGGTATTGTTTTGGTGGTCCTCTGCTAGGCCCCCGTGCTTGTACACGTCCCAGGGGTTTTCAGTATTATCATTTACCCGTGTTTTGTTTGGGTTTCTTAACCGGTTAGCAACACCTTGCCCGGGCTTCCCGTAGTTGCTAACCTACGGGCCCTGGAAACCCCTGTCGGGGCTCGGGGACCCATGGAGGCGTCTCCCGAGTTCCAGCCTGCCTTGTGCGGGTTTGAAGGTTGCAGTGTGCCCTTGTCTCAGGGTGACAGTCACCTGTTTTGCCTCCGTCATGCTGCCTGTTGGGTCAATGACACCTTTGACCCGGAGTCTTGCGAGTCCTGTTCTCTGCTTGTGCTCAGGTTTTACTCTGAGGATGTTCCTATTAGAGTACAGGCAGCATCAGCGTTGCATGTTAGATTTAGGTTATTGCAACGCGCTAGGTCGGTTTCCCGCCTGGATGCCCCGAGGCTGCCCCGTTTTTGCTTTAGGGACCCTGACCTGGGGGCGTTGATTGCTATGGCTTTGACTCCTACGCCCTCTGGTCCTTCCCCTGTGGTTCTTCCTGCACCACCCCCCCTGTGTCCGGCTCCGAAACGTATGCGGCTTTCGGCCTTGGCACACGATTTAGTTGGTGGTGAGACTCGGGCTGCTTCGGGGGCTGCCCCATCCGGGTCGGGGACGGAGGCATTTGAGCCGGTTCCTCCTGCCGAGGCTTCTGGGTCCCACCAGCAGGCCCCCTTGTCTGCCTTTCCCTTGGACTCTACCTTTTCTTCAGGGGTAGAGGGTTTGGAGGACGGCTCTGCCCCGGGTCCCGACGTAAGGGATCCTGGGGCTGGGGAGGAGTCGGCCTGGGGGCCTTGGGCCCCCTGTGACCCCGCTTGGGTGCTTTTGCCTTCCCCACGGGGTTTATTGTTGCAGGGGGAGGGGTTTTCTTATCCTCCCTCCCTGTATGAGTATGATTTGGGTTCGGCTCCTCCCCGTGTTCGGTTCCGGGCGCCTTTGGGTACCTCGGCTCCGTCTTTACAGGGGTTTGCTACTTCCCGTCTCTCCGCGAAGGTGGCTCGGGAAGCTCTTGCTGCATACCTCTTGCGAGACCCGGGTTATGCCTCCCCAATGGATCCGTCCTCGTTTGAGTTCGGTTCTTCTTCCCGTTTTTGGGTACGTTTGGAGGTTCCGGGGTCTTCCTGGCTAGCAGACTGCCCTTTCTTTTCGTTGGGGGCGTGGCATGGGTTCTGTCGGACCCGCACGCTTGATTGGCGCGAGACTGCTACTTTTATGCAGGTTTACCTGGGGGGCGAGTTTGAGCACCTTAATGCGTGCTTATTCGCTCCTGTGCTTTCTCGGGATGTTGGCCTTTTCCAGCTTCACGTGCAGGTTCCTCAGCTTTCGGCTTCATTGGTTGCGGAGGAGTTGCGCTCCCGTGGGCATTTGGCTTCGGTCTTGCGTTTCTTTTCCCTTCTCGAGCTCTCTTCTGCTTGGCTCGAGGAGGATGTGGGAGCGTTGGCTGAAGGGCCTTCGTCCGGGGCGCTTTCTTCGGCAGCTAGGGCGT